CAAAAAAATCAGTAGTCCTCCTGTATACAGATGATAAAAGGGCTGGGGAAGAAATCAGAGAATCAACATCCTTCACAATAGCCACAAATAGCATAAAATATCTCGGACTAACTAACCAAACAAATGGAAGACTTGTATGACGAGAACTTTAAATCTTTGAAGAAAGAAATTGAAGAAGACACCAGAAAGTGGAAAGACCTCCCATGGTCTTGGCTGGGCAAAATTAATATAGTAAAAATGGCAATCCTACTAAAAGCAATCTATAGATTCAACACAATGCCCATCAAAATCCCAGCAAAATTCTTCAAAGACCTCAAAAGAACAGTACTCAACTTCATTTGGAGAAGCAAAAAACCCAGGATAGCTAAAACAATCCTGTACAATAAAAGAACTTCTGGAGGCATCACAATCCTTGACTTCAAACTCTACTACAGAGCTACAATACTGAAAACAGCCTGGTACTGGCATAAGAACAGACAGGAGGACCAATGGAACCGAATAGAAGGCCCGGATATCAGTCCACACATCTTTGAACACCTGATCTTTGATAAAGAAGCAAAAAATATCAAATGGAAAAAAGAAAGCATATTTAACAAGTGGTGCTGTCATAACTGGATATCAACATGTAGAAGAATGAAAATAGACCCATATCTATCACCATGCACAAAACTCAAGTCCAGATGGATCAAAGACCTCAACATAAAGCCAGCCACACTGAACCTTATAGAAGAGAAAGTGGGAAGTACACTTGAACGCATCGTCACAGGGAACCACTTCCTAAATAGAACGCCAAAAGCACAGACACTGAGAGAAACAATAAATGGGACCTCCTGAAACTGAAAAGCTTTAGTAAAGCAAAGGACACTGTCAACAAGACAAAACGACAGCCTACAGAATGGGAAAAGATCTTCACTAACCCCACATCAGACAGAGGTCTGATCTCCAAAATATACAAAGAACTCAAATTGGACACCAGAAGATCACATAATCCAATAATAAAAATGGAGTACAGACCTAAACAAAGAACTCTCAACAGAGGAATCTAAAATGGCTAAAAGACACTTAAGGAAATGTTCAGCATCCTTAGTCATCAGAGAAATGCAAATCAAAACAACTCTGAGATTCCATCTTACACCTGTAAGAATGGCCAAGATCAAAAACACTGATGACAACTTATGCTGGAGAGGCTGTGGGGAAAAGGGAACACTTCTGCATTGCTGGTGGGAATTCAAGCTGGTATAATCCCTTTGGATGTCAGTGTGGAGATTTCTCAGAAAATCAGGAAACAACCTTTTTCAAGACCCAGTAATAGCACTTTGGGGTATATATCCAAAGGATGCTCAATTGTGCCACAAGGACATGTGCTCAATTATGTTCATAGCAGCTTTGTTTGTCATAGCCAGAACGTGGAAACAACCTAAATGCCCCTCGACTGAAGAATGGATAAGAAAAATGTGGTACATTTACACAATGGAGTACTACACAGCAGAAAAAATAACAGCTTGAATTTTGCAGGAAAGTGGATGGAGCTAGAAAACATTATTTTGAGTGAGGTAACCCAGACACAGAAAGACAATTATCACATGTACTCACTCATAGGTGGTTTTTAAACATAAAGCAAAGGAAGCCAGCCTATAAACCACAATCCCAGAGAACTTAGACAACAATGTGGATGCTAAGAGAGACTTACATAGACCTAATCTACATAGGAAGTAGAAAGTATAAAAAGACAAGATCTCCTGAGTAAATTGGGAGCATGGGGACCTTGGGGGAGGGTTGAAGAGAGCAGGGGAGAGGCAGGCAGGGGAGCAGAGAAAAATGTAGAGCTCAATAAATACCAATAAAAGAATGTGTCCAAAGGACTTCACTGAGTTCACAATACTATGCCTGACTATAAACAAACAGTTAAAGCTGGGTGTGGTGGTGCATGCCTTTAACCCCTGCTCTGGGAGCAGAGGCAGGCGTGCCACCACCACCTGACAAGACTTTTCTTTTCCTTGGATTCTTTATGGAATCCAATCACAAATTTTGAATTCTGCTTTAAGATTACTACCCCATATATTATACTAAGAAGAAGTAATTTGTGTTTATGCCAAGTCTTTAATCCCAGCACTTGGGTGGCAGAGACAGGTAGATCTCCGAGAGTTCAAGGCCAGCCTGGTTTATAGAGCAAGTTCCAGGACAGCCACAACTACAAAAAACCATATCTGGAGAACAAAAAAAAGTAATTTGTGTTTAGTAAGCACTGAGGATGGAGTGGATTCTAATTGACATGGCATATTTATTCTGAAATGTTTATTTTTGTAGATGGAAATGCACAGTAACTGAACATCTTTCTCAAGTAAGTATTTGTTTATTCTACCATCTCTTCAGATGATAGCAAGATTTAACTGGACATAAAGCAATTTGAGTCCAATTTTCTTTCCAGTATGATGCTAAATTAAGGCTTTGTGTGTGTTTTACATATATAGCCTCGAATGGTGTACAAACTAATGAATTTTAAGTGGACATTTACCACTTAAAATTCTGCCACGATGCTAAGTTCTTTTCCCTGCTGTTAGTACACACTGCTTTTTTTTCACATCAAAGTTGTATTCTCGATCTATCCTGCCTCCTGTAGACCGAGATAATCAAACCCCCGTGCTTCGCTGCTCTGCAGCTATTTCTCTATGCAGGGCTGTTTAATTCTCATTTTTTTAAAAAAAAAAGTCATATGTTTTTAATGATCATTTGAAAGTTTTGGGCCTCTTTAGAGTCTTGCACTGTTGATATTGTCTAGTAGTTTAAGTGCAGAACCTCACAAAAACCTCTATGAATAGACCAAGATCCTTTACTTTTCCCAGATGAAACCTTTCCTGGAGGCCCTTCTGTGTGCTGGTGGGAGAAGGACTCAGGAAGGCTGTGACAGGATTTCTCAGCTGCTGGCAGATAGCAGTCCTTCAGTGAATATTGATGGGATGAATGAAGGATTGCTCTGTCACTGTCCAGGCCACATCTAAACTGAAGCAGATGAATCTGTGGAAGGGTTCATTCTGTACCAGACCTAATATTTTCCTCTGATAAGAAACTAGAAAAGCTAAATAGAATACCCAGCCAGGCATCTCACAGCACTCAGAGTTAGTGGCAAGAGGATCTCTGAGTTCAAGGTCAGCCTGATCTACATAGTAAGCTCTAGGACAGACAAGGCTACATAGAGACCCTGTCTCAAAACAATAAATAAATAAACTCCAGGTGTGGTTATGCACGCCTTTAATTCCAGCACTTGGGAGGCAGAGGCAGGCAGATCTCTTTGGGTTCAAGGACAGCCTGGTCTACATTGTAAATTTCAGGAAAGCCAGAGAGCTACATAGTGAGATCCTGTTTCAAAAAAAAAAAAAAGTTTATTTTTTTTTTAAACTAAACAATGAAAAATAGTTCAATCTTTATTAGAGCACATATTTTCAATAACTTAAAATACCTATCTACACTTCCCATCTCTTAATTCTCCTGGGAAGAACAACTAATCGCTAAACTTAAATAGTACAAAGATTTACTCATGGTAAGAGATTCTGATATTAAAGACATTTGAACTTATCGGAAACAAAAATCATGAAAACTTATTAAGTACTTTAAATTATAACAAGTCCTTTCAAGCCCTGGATAATAGAGGCAGTTTTCAACTTTCTAGAAACACCTATGGTTATCTGCGTAACGTAATCAATCGGCCAATGATAAACAACTGAAAAGGTATTTATGCACCTAGTCAGTAATGTTTCATTAGAAAGGATATTTTGACCAATATTTAAAATTTATAAATTTAGTTATGCTGACATTTTGTATTGTGCTGATTAGTTCTATGTGAGCTTGACACAAGTTAGAGTCATCTGAGGGAACCGAAACTAAGAAAATGCCTCCATTAAGACCCAGCTGTAAGGCATTTTCTTAATTAGTGATTGATGATGGAGGCCCAGCCCATGGTGGATGGAGTCACCCCTGGGCTGGGGGTCCTGAGTTCCCTAAGAAATAAGCCAGTAAGCAGTACCCTCCATGGCCTTCACATCAGCTCCTGCTTCGGGAGCCTGCCCTGCCTGCGTTCCTGCTCTCACTGCTTTTGATGACGAACTATTACATGGAACTGTGATGAACAAACCCTTGCCTTCCCAAGTTGCTTTTTTGGTCATAGTGTTTAATCATGTCAATAGTAAACTTTTTCATCATGTCAATAGTAAACTTGGACAACTTAAAACCTAATTTAGCAATAAATCATCTTTTTGAGGCCATTCATTAAACTGAAAAGAAAGATGGTACATTCTGGCTTTTATTTAAAAAGAGATTTAATTCAATAATTGGATTTGTTACTGCTTGAGAAGTACATTGACTTCCTAGGATTGGATGGCAATGAGGCTTAGCCTTCCGGGCCCTCGGTTCCCTCTAACAGAAAGCAATATGGAAACTCAGCAGTAAACATCTGTTGCTGCTTATGTAAACTCAGCTCCAGGAGGAAAGAAACAATGAGAACATATGTAAATCCTATTCGAAGCATTCCCATCTCCAACACTGTCCTCTACTAACAGGGCACACCAGCTCCTCCCTCACTGACCAGTAAACTCAAAGTGAAGATAACAGGATCCTCACTGATACCATTCCTCGCGAGTTTTTACATACTGTTTTATAGGCAAATGTGTGCATATAAAACATTAACAGGTAGTGTTAAGAATTGAGAATGAACAGCAACATCCACAAATGGCATGTCTGTATTCTGAGACCCTACAAATATTAAACCTATTAAAAACATGTCATAATACATGTGTATTAAGGAAAGCTCCAGAACTGGCCGAGATCTCCTAAGAGCCAAACCAACCTCTGGTGCTTCCACTACTTCTCACTCCTCTAATTAGGCTAAGAAGGAGACCAATGAATACTACCGCCAGGAATTTACTACACACTGGTGATTTCTACCAGCCACACTCAGCTCTGCAAGCCAACAGGTGAACCAGGAGTCTTTCTGAACTCATTGTCCATTAGGAGTCCGGAACATTTTCAATTAAAGCCTTCATTTTCCCTGTAGACTTCAATATATGCGGACCAAACAGGGCTGGCTCTGAGGTAGCCTCCGGTTCTGGCTTTTGAATTCCTCTCTCAGCTTCACCCTGGCTATTGTGTCGATACCGATAGGCAAACTTCTTTTTCAGAGCCTCTGCTATGAGGGCAGCAGGGTCAGTAGCATCCACTGGCCTAGGCTTTACATCTTTCTCCGACCTCTTGACTGACCGCAGCTTCACATTGTTCATGTCTTTTAGGATCTCTAGCATGTTTGGCATATCAGGCGGCTTTGGGTGGCTCTTAGCCAGTCTTCCCAGCATTGAGTCTTTGCTCTCTTCGCTCTTTAATCAGATCAATGAAAGACATACTTTGGTGGAGCATTGATGGAGGGGGAGGAGGGGGTGGTGGTGGAGGAGGGGGAGGTGCTGGTGGTGGTGCTATAGTGGTGCTACAGTGACCTGCATTAAGACTCTGTTGTTAAGCCGGGCGGTGGTGGCGCACGTCTTTAATCCCAGCACTCGGGAGGCAGAGGCAGGCGGATCTTTGTGAGTTCGAGACCAGCCTGGTCTACAGAGCTAGTTCCAGGATAGGCTCCAAAAACCACAGAGAAACCCTGTCTCGAAAAACCAAAAAAAAAAAAAAAAAAAAAGACTCTGTTGTTCCTGCAGGGTCACAATCTTGGCAATCTGAGCTCTAAGGGCAGCAAGCTCATTCTCAAGTGCGGAGATCTTCTGCAAGGCCTCCTCACTGGCCAGTGTTGTCTTTGGAGGAGGCTCATCTTGAGACAAGTTTGGTAAAGTAATGTGCATGCTTGGGGGCTCCTCAGAGCAAGGACGGTCATCCTCAAGGGGAGACTTGGCCCTGACCTCTGCCCTGAGTCTTCTTGTTGAACACTCCCCTTCTTCTGTGGCTACCCATCCAACATCAGCAAAAGAGGCCACCACGTTCTCTCCCGGGTAGGCAGGGCTCCATTCTGTTGCCTGGCTGGTAAGCTGAAACTGAACTCTTGGACACTGAATCAGAGACAAGTTGGTACCAATCTTCCTTACGATACTTCGAGATGAACCATATGGCTTTCCAGACCAAAGTACCGACTGCATGCTGAGCCCAACTCGCTGAACCACCATCCTCAGCAGGCACTTAATCCAGCCCAGCATCTAGTGTCTGCGTCTTCCCAGCCTGCAGGTCAAGTGCTTCAGACCTCCATAGCAGCACATGGTCCACAGAGCACACTCCGCTGCGCCGCAGCCTGCACCTTCCCCAGCTACTCAGCCTTCCAGATTGGCGGTCCGGGACCTTATAGGGCCGAAGGCGTGTCTGCGCCCCCCCCCCCCAACCGCGCCGGCTACCTTTCCGGAGCACAGTAAGGGGCGTGTGCTTTTGCGTGGCTGCTGCTTTGTGTCTTCAGTGCTGCTGCCGCGGTTACTTTTGTTGGGAAACTTCGCCCCTGAAGGGCGTCGGAAGACCCACATTCTGAATGTAGTCGCAAGTGTGTGCCCGCCGAAAGGAGCTGGGTTTTCGACCTAACCTAGCCTGGGACGAGCCCTTCTCATCCCACGCTTTGTGGGGACCTGTGATCCCCTGGCCGATCCTTGTGTCCGGTCTCTCATCCCGGATGTCCGTTCTAGAGAAGTGAAAATACCGTGGTGCTCAGGGAGTGAAGACTTTCCTTTCCTTTCCTCAAAGTCAGCCTAATTCAAAAAAAGTTTTTTAAAAGTGTTAAAAAAATGATAATAAAAATAAATAAATAAAAATGATAATAATAATAAGCCAGGCGGTGGTGGTGCATGCCTTTAATCCCAGTACTCGGGAGGCAGAGGCAGGCAGATCTCTGTGAATTCAAAGCCAGCCAGAGCAAGTTCCAGGACAGGCTCCAAAGCTACACAGAGAAACTTGTTACAGGGAGAGTGAGCCCTTTGTTCTGTCCTGCCCAGCTAGCTTATACCTGAAATAATCACACACAAATTGTATTAATTAAATTACTGCCTGGCCCATTATCTCTAGCCTCTCATTGGCTAACTCTCACACCTTGATTTAACCCATTTCTAATAATATGTATAACACCACAAGGTCGTGGCTTACCGGGAAAGATTCAGCATGTCTGACCTGGCAGCTCCATGGTGGCTCTTTCTCTACCCTTCTTCCCAACATTCAGTTCTGTCTTCTCTGCCTACCTAAGTGCTGCCCTATCAGGCCAAGCAGTTTCTTTATTAATTAACCAATGAAAGCAACACACCAACAGAAGGACCTCCTACACTAGAAACTCTGTCTCAAAAAACCAAAATAATAATAATAGGAAATACTCTTTAGTTATTAGCAATAATATTTATCAATTTCTTCTAGGAATTGGCCACTTTTGGTAGGTTCTACATTCCCAACCCCCAAAACAGGCCTTTTCTGTTTAACCCTGGCTGTCCTGGAATTTGCTTTGTAGACCAGGCTAACTTTGGTCTCAAAAATCTGCCTGTCTCTGCCACCTGAGTGCTAGGATTAAAGGTGTGTGCCACCACTGCCCAGCTTGGTAGGTTCTGACTTGAAATTGTTAAATGTATCTGGAAACCAAAAAAATGGGTTTGGGCCCCAGAAGAGAAAGCGCAACACTTAGGCTTATCAGAAAGAATACATTGAACAGACCATTTGGCGAACTTTGAGTTGCTCTTTTAATATGTTGCACAAGATGTCTGAGTATCATACAGTATATGATATCAGTAAATAAGAAAGGCAGCTGTAAGCCAGGCGGTGGTGGCGCACGCCTTTAATCCCAGCACTGGGGAGGCAGAGGCAGGCGGATCTGTGTGAGTTCGAGACCAGCCTGGTCTACAGAGCTAGTTCCAGGACAGGAACCAAAGCCACAGAGAAACCCTGTCTCGAAAAACCAGAAAAAAAAAAAAAAGAAAGAAAGCCAGCTGTATAATGAAAAGCTAGAAGCTTCTCCTAAAATTAAGACAAGGTATTCCCTCCCACTCACCCTCCCACTTTAAGACAAGGTCTCTTTATTATGTAACCCTAGCTGTCCTGGAACTAGGCCAGGCTGAGATCCACCTTCCTCTGTCTCCTGGGTACTAGAATTAGAGGCGTGTGGTACCTGCTAGCACTTGGCTTCTTTACTTCACCTTTATAGTGCTATTACATACTCTTACACAGTGAATTTCTTTTTCTGTATAACTCCCTTTTTTATTTAAGACATCATCTAGATTATTTAGGCCAAAGCTGACCACAAACTCAAGGTTCTCCTGCCTCATTCAGCCTCTGTAGGTGCTGGGATTACAGATATGCACAAACACATACAGCTTTTTCTTAATCCTCTTAATAAAAAAAGAAGCATTATTTATGAAACCTATTGAAAAATTTTTAAGCTTTTGGTGGAAGGAAACAAACGAAGTAGAAGACATGGATTTCCCTTAAGGACCAAGTATGAAAAGCTGGGCATAATAACACAAACCTGTAATCCCAGCACTGAGGACATGAAGACAAGAGAATCCAGATTGTCAAGATCAGCCTTGGCTATTTAGTTTAAGGACAGCCTAGTTCACATGAAGCCTTTCTCAGAAAAAGAGAGGTGGAGAGAGACCAGCAGGTAAGGGTGCTCACTTCCCAGCCCAAGGGATTGAGCTCTGTCCCTGGGACCCATGTGGTAGAAGGAAAGAACCATTTCCCAAAAATTGTCCTCTAGCCACTGTGCAAGTACACATACACAAAATTTAAAAAGTCATTTTTAAATTTTAGTTAGATTTACTCATTTTTATTTTGTGAATGCTTTGCCTGTGTCTATATATGTCTACCACATGCAGGCTTGGTGCCCATGAAGGTCAGAAGAGGACATCAGATTCCCAAGAATTGAAGTTACAGATGGTTGTGAACCATCTTGTGAGTGTTCGGAATCGAACCTGGGTTCTGAACAAGAGCAATAAATGCCCTTGACTGTTGAGCCTTCTCTCCAGCCCTGAATGAATATAATTTTTAAGTTTCCATACACACACATATCAATACCATTGAATTAATGAGTAGTAGAGTATTTAAGAGGAAAACTACCAAAGTAAGTTAGTTAGAATTTGTTCAGAATTGTTCAAAGTCGTTAGTTGCCTAGAGAGTCAGTTCCCACTTGTGAAACTGTTGACACAAGAAATGCGTCCTGATGACCTGAAGAATGTAATTGAACGGCATGTTTCCCTGTACGCAGAGGTACTAAAAAGGAAAGGATCAGCAGGTGTCTTGTTATTAACAACAGTGAACCTCTAGAAGAGCCCGTCTGAGAGAGTTTGAGAGGCTACAGTTAGTTGTGTGGACTGTTGTCAGATGTAGTTGGTACTTCTGTCATTGAAAGGAAGTAAAAACTCTTTTCTCATTTCCTTTCAGATGCCAGACTGTGGAAGACTCTTGCTTATTCCTGCTACCTAAGGGTTCTTCTTCTTTCTCTTTATCTAATTATAGAACAGTAAACTGTCTGTGACTTTCAAACTGGCAAGTACATTTTTTTTTAACTGCTGAGACTTTGACTCTTCAATTATTTAATACCAGAACCTTCTACATATTGCTGAAGTAGACACACAACTTGATAGTTTGGTTGAACACCTACTGCCCCAAATTAAAAAAAAAAAAAATTACTCATTCTTCTTAATGAACATGATGATGTGAAACTATCATACAGGATCCAGCTAACACAGTCAGAAAACCTGGATTAGAAAAATGTTAACGCACTTGTGTTCTCCCCATTTTCATTCCGACATCTTGCTGCTTGGATATTTCCAGCATGGAGTGGATTTTTGGTTGTTTTTAATCTCGTGTGTTCTATCAAGCCAGCTGTGGCTTGGCAGAGATGGCTAATTGGAGAAAGCACAGCTTTCCACCTGTCAGATTGGATTCCCTGTAAATGGTGAGAGACCCTGGTCACTGCCTTAGGGTATGTGCCAAGCATCTTAAGTTTCTAGATTGCCCAAAGCTCTGGCTGTCATAGTACCTTGTAGGCCCTTAAAAGGACATTTTAAACTCATTTTATTTCTGAGGTTTTTTTTCTTTTGTTTTGTCATTTGATTTTTTTTTTTAATTTTTGATGGTATTTTACTTTTTTTTTTTTTTTTTTTTTTTTTTTGGACAGGATCTCAAATAACCTGCTAGCTTCAAACTCACTGTGTAGATAAGAATGACCTTCATGATTTGAGGTGCTGGGGATCGAGCCCAGGCCAACATACATGCTAGGGAAGCATTGTGCCAAGGAGGAGCTACATGCCTACTCTCCCCATCCCCTGTTTTCTTTTCTCTAAGATTTTTTTAAGATCTCAGACTGATCTACAAAACTAGTTCCAGTACAGCCAAGGCTATACAAAAAGACACCCATCCCAAAACAAACAGAAAAGACTGTCTCACTCTATAGCCCATGCTGGCCTGGAACTCATGGCAGTCCTCCTGTCTTAGCCTCCCTAGGTTGGTATTACAAACATAAGCCACCATGTTTAGCTCTAGAGCAGTTTTTGTAGGAATTTTGGGTTTTTTGTTTTCATTTGTTCCTGTGATGAGGATTGATCACAGGAGTTCATGTGTTCTAGACATATAAACTGTCACTAAACTGCAGCCCTGGCCCTTCCAGCTTTGGTTGTTTTCAGGTTTGGTTTAGCTTATTTTAAAAACATGTGCATGGTGGGTTGGTGGTGGCACACACCTTTAATCCCAGCACTTGGGAGGTAGCGGCAGGCAGATCTCTGTGAGTTTGGGGCCAGCCTGGTCTACAGAGCTAGTTCCAGGACAGCCAGGAATGTTACACAGAAAAACACTAACACTGGTGTGTGGCTTATGTAACTAGCCTTGAAGATTGTCTACCATGTTTGAGGCCAACCTGGGTTACATAGTGAGTTCTGGGGGGGGGGGGGGAAGGAGAGAGAAAGAGAGAAGGAAGGGAAGGGAAGGGAAAGGAGGGAGAAACAGTAATTGCTCTGTAAGGTAGTGTCTGTCATTCATGAAAAACCCTTGCTTATGAGCCAGACGTAGGCATTTTTGGTAATATTTTTGCGCAACATGGCAAAACCCTAGTTTTATTCTAGTACTGCATGTTTGTGTTTTGTTTTTCTGATTCAGGGCCTAGCTAAGTAAGCCTCAGACTCTATTCTGTATCAACCCTCTCTACAAGATTACAGCAGGAAAGAAAAATAAAATGGTAGTACTGCCTGCCTTTAATCCCAGCACTCTAGAGGCAGGCAGATCTCTAAAGTCGAGGCCAGCCTGGTCTACAGAGTGAGTTCCAGTACAGTCAAGGCTACAGAGAAACCCTGTCT